ATGGGTAGGCATTCACTGCATTCAGGGGACAAATTCTTTCTTAGGGAAATTTGAACCGAGTTGTGGGGACATTTCTGAGTCCCCACAATGTTTTTGGTTCCCACAAAAATGGTGAAATGTGGAGTGTATGTCTCCACAACTACGATGCAGGAGTACATGTACACTACTTGTACATGTACCGGTACATCAGAATGGAGGTTCATTCTATTGGTCTGGAGTCTGACATCTTGATCTTTGACTTGTATAGAAGTCGCGATTCAAGGTTGTTTGATTTGAAGAAAATGATTTAAATTGTTAATATAAATCAGGATTTAAATCACTTTATAAAATTCAAAAATTATTTAAAAATCTCACATTAAAGCAACCTTAAATTCCTTTGGGTATTTGAAAAAAAGACATGGCTGAATTTGATATACAGGTGCCTTTAAAACATTCCCATGCAACCAGAATTGGATCATTTTGTATATGTTTCTCTTTACACTTATTCAACATTTACGTACTGGTATACATGTTCCTGATACTTTGTGCGTACATGTACACATACCCTTTTCTCTATTTTCTATAACTGCATGTACAGTACATCACATTGAACATGTTCAATTTCATTTACATGCATTTACATGTACATGTAGATATACATGTACCGGTATAGCAATATTACTGAATATCATGGACAGTATTATTTCCAAATACAGATATACAAATCATGAAAATTGGAACACCATAGTTGTGCATGTGTTCAATAAAGTCTCTCGAAATGTTCCACAAATGGATGTGTTAGCAAGTGTAAGAGTTTTATCCCAAATGAAGAAGCAAAGGACACTGTTCTTCAATCGTCTTGTTTTATCATTGAAATTTGCATAAACTGTCGACTTTATTTATACCAAGAGTTTGCTTGTAGTAATAGCAAACTTGACTAGTTGATTATAAATAAACAGTTCAACATATGGCAAACCTAGCCTCCGCAGTCAGCAGTACATGTAGGTCCTTTAGTCATCACATATGTTGTTTCATGTCTTGTACTTTAGGATCAAAAGCCTTCTGGACAACTCATTCAAAGATTGATTGGAAAAAATTGAATTAAATAAAGAAATCTGTTTTAAATAAAATAAAATCTGATTTTTAAAAATCATTTTAACAACCCTGTCGTGACTGTTGACGCCAGCTGTTAATTGCCAGCTGTTTCCAAATTACGAGTATTTACAGACGGGGGCTACAATTCTGTGCAATTGGAAAAAAAAAGGCACTGTGCATAAAAAGTAAATAATTATACAATACATGTACATGCATGTACTGTACCTGTAAGTCGCTACAAAACTTGGATCATCCTGTGTCATTTCAACCCGCTTTTGGACCTGACCATCACAGATTGAAATGAAATTCGCTGTGCTGATTGGATTCCTTCAGAAACCCCCAGAACTGAAATTTTAAGTCAGTTAGTCTTTTTTTTTTAGATACAGGCAACAAACGTGTGACTAATTAGCTTGGTCTGCATTGTTTGGACAGCCTTGCATTTTATCTGCTGATATAAGACACCCACAGAGATAAAATTTACATGGGACTGAATTTCATTTCAATCCGTGGCGGTAAGGTCCAAAAGCATGTTGAATTGACACCAAATGACCCAATTGAAAAGTGAGACTTTGTCTGCTCTGTCATATTTCCCAGCTGGAATTGCGGACATTGCTGGCAAAACATAGCCCTTAAGAATTGTAACTGAGTCAGATTTTCTGCAACTTGGGATTGTATCATTTTGAGAGATTTACTTACAAGTATCTAGGCTTGGTCTGTTCAACAGGAAATCAGAATTACATTTTGCTGTATGGACATGATGGAAGGCAGGATGTTGGATTAGATTTCCTTGGAGATCAATTAGGCTGGGATTTGGTTCAGTGTTGATGAAGTCTCAGCCTCTGAGCAAACAATAAGACAAATGATTGTTTTTACATACGTACATGTACAGTGCATGTACTAGTTCAGTTGTCATAGTCAGCCACTTGCTTTGGCAGCTTTCCTGTGAAGTTATAAGTCAGGGTAAGGGTTCTTTGAAAAACTGTTAGATTGGCATGTACAAGCGCAAGAATGCAAAGGAGATGCAAACTAGTGGATGTACATGTATCAAAACTTAAGTTTGTTGAGAGTGGGCAAGTTCTTGATTCTGTGGAACACTCCTGGGGGGGGGGAGAATGTTAAAGTTGTCTGAACTGTTAACTGTTAGTATATCTGTCATTGTTTGTCTTCCTTGTCATATTCACTGATCCGTCAACTGGATTGTCATTTTATGACTCTAAGGATTGTCAGGGTACTTACCAGTACATGTAAATATGTTCGCATTCATGACTGTAGTTTCATACTGTTTGTGTTGCTTTAAGTACATGTACATGTACAAGTGTAGCTGTATGAGTGCCAGTTCACATGAATTCTGCTGGCAGTGGTACTGTAAATGAATAATCTACATGTATAGTGTACACAATGAATAGAATTTTGTCCCCCGGTACATGTACATGCTATATCTTGTGATATCTTATGCTGTCTGTCATGAACCCTATCCTGGTACATTATGTACCAGGATAAGGTATGTACCGTACATACCTTATCATACTTGACTGTACACAGTTCCTGGGGTATACATGTAATTCACATACCTGTACATGTACATGTACGGTTCATGTACTTGGCTGTCACTTCAGTAGACTCAGCAGTGCATGCGTTTACATGTACATACTTAAGTACCGGTACCTGTAATTTGGTATGTAACGTCTCTGAAATTTTAGTTGCTGGTTTGATATAATTTATTGAAAATCTGCATAAATTTCTGTGTACAGTGTACCGTTACATGTACATGTACATGTACATATTGTTGACCTACTGTACATGTATAGCCCT